TGCCCATCCAACAAGATATTGCTGGCTTTTAGGTCCCGGTGAACGATCTTGAGCCTTGAATCTTCGTGGAGATAAAGAAGTCCTCGCCCAATGCCCTCGATGATCTTATACCTCCTTGCCCAGTCCAATTGCACTCTCCTCACAGGATCTGCTCCATTCAGCTTAAATGACTCAGGTTACTGAAATGTGAAGCAGTAGTGCCATGGAACAATGCTCATGTTTTAACATAATTCAAATATTTCAGCTAGACTGCACTGCAATATCATCATAAGAAGGTGTATAGGATTTGGTTCAGATATGAAGCAATACAGCTTCTGATGTATTGTAGCACCATTAGGTGATGCATAATGGAGATGGATGCAAGTGGTGAAGCATACCAAATAAGACATTGTCAAGACTTGTATTAGGAAGGTACTCATAGACAAGTAATTTCTCCTCCTCTTGTAAGCAACAACCCAACAATCTCACAAGGTTTCTGTGCTGAAGTTTGGCCAACAAAACCACCTCATTCTTCAGCTCAACAAGCCCTTGCACTGAGGTTCTTGAAAGCCTCTTCACAGCTATTTGCACTCCATCCTCTAGTGTTCCCTGTGGTGCAGGAACCATATGGATTACAGGTTACACAGAGAAGAATTCTTCAGTCTTTGAGGGCTTACCCTATAAACTGGTCCAAATCCTCCTTCTCCTAGCTTGTTTGCATCAGAAAAGTTGTCTGTGGCAGACCTGATCACCTCCAGATCTAGTAACAGCGATTCTGCACTCTTGATCTCTTGTTGATCTCCATTGTCTGCTCAATAAAATTGTCACAGTAAGCACCTGCAAAGTTCATAAAAAAGCATGCTAATTCTGCTGCCTCACCAAATATTCGTTTGTGCAGATGCATCCTCCTTGGCCTTGCTGGTTTCCTTCGTCGACAGTTCACAAAGATGGCAAGTAGGAACGACAGTGCTGCAGCAACAGGGATGACAACAAGTAGAACTGTTTTCACAGCATTGTTACTTTTTCCTACACAGAAATTGATAGTGTTTCAATGGAACCTTCCGTTCCGATAAATGAAATCAGTGCAAGGTAACATAATGCAGATGCTAAGAGATTTCTATTAGGTAAACCTCCTTTTAGAAGTCATAAAAGCAGAGAGAGGTCAGCAGTTTCCTTATGATCTAACGGGGACGTACGCATTTTGCTTCAATTCCCTGATAGAATTAAGGGGAATAATTGAGACTGGAAGGTCTTTCAAGAACATGGAACTTCTATACTGGGGAAGAGAAGACGCAACGGATGGTCAGATATAGTTTCAGCGACGTTGACCTGCAGCTGAAGGAATTTCCTCTGACCAGTCAAACACGGCTGGCGTTTGGACTGAAGGGATCGTCGTTCTTATCTAACGCAGTGCTGTCATGTCGAAGAAGGTCGATTAAATTTTATGATACTTTTAGTGTCATTATGTGAAGCATTTTGTCCTCTTACTGGAAAAAGATGGAGCATTCTGCCTCTCTCGAGCACTGTAATAAATTCTACGTTGCGTAAAGTTCATGTCGATTCTATTAACAGAATGTTTATTTGTGTTCTTACCTCCAGTGGCATCATTTGGCACGGTATCGCTGGGCGTCTTGCTGCTCGGAGACGGCGGCGGTGGTGCCTCCACGGCGGAGAGGTTGTAGAAACGATACGACTCGAAGCGAAGGTAACAACTCTGGACGTACACCTTCCCTCCCTGCTTCCAACTGGAATACTTGGGAATGAAGGTCACCATGTCCTGGAGACACCGGTAGCAGTCGTCCGCCGACAGGTCCCTCGAGCACTGCACCAACCCGTACAGCTTATTGAAGCTGGTGACGTTGGCCGATCCAGCCGCGAACAGTTTGGGCGAGCTACTTGCTTTCATGGTGAGATCGTCCATGAGATTCCCCAGCGTGGTCTCGAACTGCTGCTGGTCCGAGACGTTCTGGCTGTTCCACGCCGCGTACATGAAGGAGGTGTCCGCCGTGGAGAAGAACGTCCGGTTGGAGTAGCGAAGCAGGCAGTCGTCGTAGCATGTGGTGGATGTCATGCCGTTGGGGCACGACTGGATGATGTCTTGGACGGCGGCGTCGAGGCAGGTCTGGCACACGGAGGAGGAGACGTCGCCGCGGCATAACGCGAGGCCGTGGACTTGATCCGAGGACCGACCTTCCGTGTCGTTGGAGTAGCCGGTGGCAGCGGTGGAGGAGGAGAGGGAGGCGAGGAGGAGGTTGAGGTTGTACTGGAAGGTGCTGTTGGTGGTGTAGTTGGCATCATGAGGACAGTAGCTCCAAAGCTTGTCCGAGCTGGTTCCGTAACAACGGAGCATGAGAACAAGGGAGAAGAAGAGGAGGACATGGTAGGAACGAGGCATATCTGCGTTCCTTCGTTGCGGATGGTGATCGGGGAGGAAGACGATCAGAGCAAGCTTTAAGCACAATGTATTCGATGTTTGACCTGGTCAGTCAACCTATCGATTACCAAAAGCACATGGAGCCCGCGTAGGAGACACGTCGCCATAACTTTTTTCCAAGGCGACCATAAGTCAACGGTGACTCGTCCTGTTTTGTAGAAGTGGGGACGACAATTTAATAACTCCAAAAATAATAGCAATCCTAATATGGAAAGTTATATTTTTATCTTATTATTTGATTAGGATTCAATAGTCTGATGGTGATGCATTTGGCTTACTTGGCTTACTTTTGAATGTTTTAAGTCTTATGATAAGTTCACACCTAAAATAGAAGGCTAATTATATTATTCATATCGTTAACTACTTTTAATATTTTAATTTTTATATTTTAAAAAAGTATACTAACATCTTATAATTACAAAAGTAAAATATTTAGGTATATTTATCCTAACAGTTTAATCAATGAAAATAAAAAAAATAAAAAAATAATTTTAATACTCCAATTGATGGTGACGAATGACATTGATGGTGGCAAATGGTGTCGGTGCTAATATACAACGACAACGCTAGGAGCTACAAGTGGTTGTTGTGGATGAGGAGAGTGGTGACAAGAGATATAGTTATTTTGCATCTTCATCAGCGTCGATGCAATTGTCGAATGACCCTTTTGCCGCTTTATATCTACATCGGTATCAACACAATTAGCGAGTGACGAAAGGGTCACTCGACATCTACATAGGTGCAGACACAAATGCAGAGTACCAGCTCTCGACAACAACATCAACGTCAAAGTAAATACAGAGTAGCCCTTTCGTCGTTCGTCCATTGACATTGTCCGCCACCATTAATTAAAATATTAAAATTATCTTTTTACCCTTTGTTTCGTATTTATAGGAAAACTAATGACATTAGGGTAAATAGATCAAGATGTTTAATTATCATAATTATAGAGATGTAAATATAATTTTTAAAATATAAGAACCGAAATGGTAAATGATGATATATGTAATTTATAATTTATAATTAACCCTAAAATAGATGATGATATATTTAACTTGCACATGATTAATAGTCTAATCGTGGTACATCTAACTTACATAACGGTGGTGCACATGACTTACCCAAGTTAAGGGTTTGAAATTTTATGGTATAAATTTACACCTAAAATAATAACTTGATGATGATATATTTGATTTGTTGTTATCACTGCATAGTTCATGAATCCATGTATATCCACCCAAAAGACAAGCAAATAATCTCAATTCAACTTGGGTAAGAACTTTTACAAGTCTCACACACAAGATATTAATTTTAGGCACCAATACACCCGCCGCCCATGGTGGTGCCACCTTCAACGTTCCAGAGAGCTTTTGAAAGTTCTCATGGACTCAACTCATCAGAATCTACCCCTGACAGATTTCTGAAACCAAGAAGATATGGACATGAATTAGATGAACACTATTCTTCTCATGGAAAAAAGTACTTGATCAAAGATTTCACTTGACAACCACCACCTACAGGATTATAAATAGAGGAACTACTTTAGCAGCGGATAAGCATCAATTGGTTGCAATATAGGAGAGAAACCATGGAGATGTTAACTGGGTAGCCTGAGTCCATCGTCCGGTCTTTCCATTCTATTATTCAGCTCTCTGCCACTGCTTTAGACTTCGGGCCAGAATTCGCGAGCAACAAAACCCCATAAGAATTTGTGGCAGTCATCAACAGAATCCTACAGCTCAAGAGGCTTCGTTGTACTTTTGCTCGCTTAGCTTATTTCTTCCCGACATCAATTAATAGCATTTTCGATCGCTTTTCCATGGGCTTATCCTTGAGATGGACTTGAGATGGACTTTTCCATGGGCTTTGATCTGGCACCTAATCATTTGTACTCGTGCAATTCATGTGCAGATTGGTTAGGTCAATATATATGGATTAAAATAAATTTTTTAAAATTTAAACATAAGATTTTATGATTTTATTAAGAACGAAAATATGTCTTGTGTGTATAGGAAGATAAGTGTAATCACCTTCTTGGTATTATATATCGATGATATCATAATAATTGAGAATGATATAAGAATACTCTCTACAGTAAAGACTTGGTTATCTAGACACTTTTTCATGAAGGACTTGAGGGAAGCATTCTACATATTTGGGATTCGGATCTATAGAGATAGATTCAATATGATACTTGGATTATTCTAGTCCAGGTATATAAACATTATTATTAAAAGGTTTGGTATGAAAATTTCTAAGAGATGTCTCCAAAGACTGATGGCAATGAGACATGAGATATCATTTTTTAGGAATATGTTTCCAAAGACTCCTGAAAAAAAGATAGACATGTATAGTATAACCTATACCTTAGTAATTGGATCTATCATGTATGTTATGTTATGTACAAAGCCTGATATAATGCATGCTTTGAGTGTCATAAGCATGTTTTAGGTGGATTTAGACTTTGAGTATTAGAAAGTAGTAAAGTATATCCTTAAATACTTGAAAAGGACTAAGAATATTTTACTAGTATATGGAGGAAGTAGCCTCACGGTTGAGGGCTATACGGACTCGAGCTTCTAGTATGATGTCGATGATAGCAAGTCTAATTTAAGGTATGTATTCACTCTGAATGGAGGAGCAATATACTAGAAGAATTCAAAACAAGATACTACTATTGACTCAACCACAGAGGCGAAGTACATTACTGCGGTAGAGGTAGTAAAGGAGGGAGTTTGGATGGAGAAGTTTATCACAGATCTAAGAGTCATGACGGGTAGCGAGGAGTCGATTCCTTTGTATTGTGATAACTATGAGGTGATTGCTCAAATGAGGGAACTCGGGTCTCATTAGAAGTGTTCTGAAGAGGTTCTAACTTATTAGAGAAATCATGGCCCGAGAAGATGTGGCAGTGGAAAGAGTTCTATCCGAAGATAATATCACATATCCACTAACAAAGCTGTTATCTTATATTATCTTTAAGCATTACAGACATCTGATGGAGATCAGACACAGGTGATTGACTTTAGGTTAAATGGGAGATTGCTAGTCATAGATGCCCTACAAGCCAATCACGTGAGCGATAGCACGTGTGACATAACATGCTTATTGTTATTATGATATTTTCTCACTTTATATTACTTGATGCATAAATATATTATGATGTCCATAGATCTGTGCAATGAGAATCAGATCGTGATGAGATCATGATAATGAGACCGATTCACCTTTAAAAATATACCATAAATAATCTTGGTCATATGTTACTTGAGAAGGATTTCGAGATAACCGGATAGACTAATGTGTTATATATCCATCCATATGATGGAGGCGATTGGTCTCATAGCTGCTCATGTGGGGATACTAGGGCTACAATGCAGGTACTCATTTGAAAATGAGTTTATTAATTGATCCACTTATATAATACTAGATGGTTGATGATATCTCATTATAAGATAACGATTCTATTGTTTTAATGGTGTACTTGGTCCTTAGACTTGAGATACCAAGGATGTCTTGTATGAGTACTATATTCTTTGATATTGTATTTATAGGTTTGAAAGTTTTAAATCTAATACAACTGATCATCGGGAGAGGTAACTAACCTTACGAGGGATATTAAGTGTCGATAGAGGATTATTCGCTCTCGGTATTATGAAAGGAATATCTTATGTATTTTTGCTCAAACAAATCCTTGGCCAAGGTCAATCGGATTGAGAGAAAATGAGTTATCTGGGAAAATCCGATTAGAGTGAGACTCGAGGAGAAACCATATAGGCTTGACAACACCATGCCTAGTGTACAATCTTTAGGATATTAGATGGATAATGGACTATAGGTACACGATAACTAATGATAGATAGGTCCAAAGGATTAGATTCTCTTATATCGTCTAGGGACTATAGTGTAGTGGCATAGTATATCCGTAGTCGATGAGTCGAGTGAGTTATTATGGAGCTAATAATTCAATGAGTCGAAAGGAGTTCTGACAAGTATAACTCATGGCCAATTCGATATTAGCCAATTCGATATCAGAGCTCCTATTTTATTTGATATCCATTAAACTCATGAATTATTGGATCATATAGATGAGATCCAATAAGAGCTAATAAGATATTATTGGGTAGAGACCCACTAATCTAAGAGGTTTGGATAATTGGATAGAGATTCAATACCCAATATGGTAGGATTCATTAGGGGTAAGTTGACAATGGACCTATATAAATATGAGAGAACCAAAGGGCCATGGGTTAGGCTTCTTGGCTGCCACCACCTATTCTTGTCTCCTCTTCTCCTCCTCAGCTAGCAAGGGCATGTGGAGATTTGGGCAGCAATTTGAGGAATGTCTTCACAGCCCTTGTTATGTGGATCACTGCTAGAGAGGAAAACGCTTGACCTCTTTCATCCTCTCCCATAGATCTATAGAAATTCAGGGATATACGATCTCCCTAGATAACATAACTATCTAACATATAGTTTTTAGTTTTACAGGTTTTTACATACCAATCTTCACACGACGAGAACACTATGTATGTGATGTTGCTCCTATATTTCCCTACATGTGTTTCAGGCGTGAGTAGAACATTGGATTGGTGCATAATTAGGTAGCTCCAACATTATCACAATATATTATAAAAGTATGGGTAGAGTTGACATTAAGTTCCTTGAATAGATTCATAACCCAATTGAGTTCGTAGTGGCATGGATGCTTGATGTATAAGTATGAGACTACTTTCAACTATATGTCGATGTTTGTGTTCGGTAGTAATAACGAACATACATAGGCTGCAGATCTCTATCAAAATGCTTTGATTGGTGGAAGGAGCAATAGTCAGTGATAGAAGCAAGGGCTATAATCATTAAGGAGGAGAATCAACTACTATTGTCACTAAGGAGATGTCGTTAGAAAAGGAAGGATAAATCTTGCTCTAAGGCAATATATACTTTGTTACCATTGTAAATTGAAATGTAATGATGAAACCCAATTGAATTAATTGAATATAATATATATTTATATATGTTAGATGAGAGGATTTTTCTCAATTGAGATTTTCTCGTGCAGTTACTTATCTTCTATCACTTACGAACGCTGCTTGATGGACTTGGCATCGACGAGAATGGCCTTGACGAAGGATCCGCCAACGAGCCCCATAGCCATGATACCAAGCACAGCGTGACGACTGCTATAGGCAGTGAAGGAATCACCCTCGATCGTAGCTTGCTGCTAGGCTCAGACAGCAAGCTCAGGCAAGGCGATGGTCACTCGGTTGCCATGGGGAACGATGAGCCTGCTTGAGCCATTGAGCTGAAGACTCCCTTCGAGCAATACTTGGGACAAGTTGCCATGGAAGCCATTGCTTGTGTCGTCTCTCTCTCTCTCTCTCTCTCTTTCTTTAGTTAGAGAGAGAGCATTACGTTTACCTTATCTCGTCGTTCATGATTTGAACGAGTTATTAGCTAGTAGTTGATTGACATGTGCGCTACACATCGTCTGGTCTTTTGCTAGATTTGGTGGCGTGGACTAATTATATATTATCTTGGTAATTAGTTATCGTTAGTATCTCAATCTTTTTATTTTTAAAAATTATATTAAAATTTTTTTATTTATAAAAATAAAATATTAATATCTCTATACATGAATAAGAAGATAATTTTATAAGATTAAAAATTAGAAGAAATTTATTGAAATAATAGGATTAAATATTTCACTTTCATAAGATAATTTTATAATATTAAAAATCAAGAAGGTTTACATACAAATTTTATAGATATGTTTTTTTCTTCTTTTTTTAATTAATTAATATTATAGCATCTCATCTTTCTGATGGAACTACAATTAAGTGCATGCAGGATCAATTGATATGATTAATTGATGTCCTCCTATATTGAATCCTCTTATATTCTTGCCATAAGTAGGCTTATTTCCCTATTATGACTTTTCCTTTCCTTCCATAAAATTCTTATCGTTGGATTAATTAATGTATCAATTTTATCATGTTAAATCATTTATTATAATATTTATTTAACTTAAAAAATAATACACTCATCTATTATTCATAAGTTAATTTAAGTTATCTTATGCTTGAAATATTACAACTATACTAAAATAAATTTGTCCATATATTTGTGATATATATAGACATAAAAGAACCCTTTTTATTTATTTTATCTTCATTTTATTATGTGATCATATATCGAGCCAATTACATATTATCTCATTTAATTAATTATTATTAACTTCTCGGTTTCTACACTTTTAAAAGTTATATTAGGATCTTTATACTTACGAAAGTGAAACATTTAACTCTATTTCTCCTCACGCTATCATTCTTCTAATGAAAATATTGTATGTGTTGTCACATATAAAAAAGATACTAAAATAGGATAAAAAGATAATTTTGTAGTACTATTCTTATCGTCTAAAGAAAAATAAAAGAGAGAGAGAGAAAGGCATTGTTCGGGAAGTGGGACAATGCTATTCAATTATTCTATCTTTTCTCTTTATGCCTTCGGAGGTTTTGTTGGAAAGTGAAGTACTTTGTAGAAAGGATCTTTCTCTTGTGATCTTACCTTCTCATATGTTGACTTTTGTGTTGATTTCTCGACTGTTGCTTTTACATAAGTTATGAAATGAAAAATTAATATCGATAAGAATAACATTATAAAATTACCTTTTAACCCTATTTTAACATCATTTTTTGTGTGACAACATGTAAATGCATTTCTGTTAATAGAGTCCACTACATGAGAATAAACTATATTAAGGGCAGCTAACTAAAGGCCTAATATGTAATTAGCGCCCATATGTCACACTTCATAAATAAAGCTGGCTGTTAAGGATACAAGAGTGCATAAGGACACAGAAGGAAGAGAACAAAACCTACACACGTTCACCAAACTAGTGTCCAATCAAGCTCATTTTAGAAGCCTTTTCCAATCCAAGATTTTGATCTTGAACTTTTTCTTTCATGAATCATATTTTCCGAAAGTTATGTCTGGACAAAATCATCCAAGACTGCAGCACATGAAACTGAAATTTAAGCCTCAAGTCTTACAGAAACAAAACTTAAAACACACATCTTCTTATTACTATCTGGGATCCATTTCAGAGATGGAAACATCATTTTTGGATTCTTTTGCGGAACTTGTGATACTAAGAGTGACAAAAGCAGGTGCTGAAGGAGTAGGAAGACCAACAGAGTAGCTATTAAGCATAAGAGTTATGGATGCCATGCTGGGTCTTTGTGCAGGGTCTTCTTGGACACACAGCAACCCTATATGCATGCATCTCAACACTTCCTGAGGTTGACATTGATCGACCACACTTTGGTCAACCGCCTGCAATGCATCACCTTGATTCCAATGCCTCCAGACCTTTTCGATTGACATGAAAAGAAGGAGATGAAGTTACAGGACTCGATCAAATCAAACCAAATCAAATGCTTATTCGAGGAAGATCGATGCTTACATAGCTTAGAAGGTCAATGGAATTCCCAGATCCTTGGTAACCACTGTTCTTTCGACCAGTCAAGATCTCCAGAATTAGCACACCGTAGCTGTAAACATCTGAATTAGTCGAGAAGCGCCCCCGCAGAGCATACTCTGGTGCCATATATCCACTGCCATCAACAAATGGAACAAGCATTAGATGAGATGAAATGTCAAGAGTTTGCAGTTGATGAATGACGAGGAAGAAAACTCAAGATTTTGCGTACTATGTTCCGGCAATTCTGCTAGTGTTCCTCTGTGTCTCATCCACATCAAAAAGCTTGGCGAGACCGAAGTCTGAAATCTTGGGGTTCATATCCCCATCCAACAAGATATTGCTGGCTTTTAGGTCCCGGTGAACGATCTTGAGCCTTGAATCTTCGTGGAGATAAATAAGTCCTCGCCCAATGCCCTCGATTATCTTATACCTCCTTGCCCAGTCCAATTGCACTCTCCTCACAGGATCTGCTCCATTCAGCTTAAATGACTCAGGTTACTGAAATGTGAAGTAGTAGTGCCATGTGACAATAATGCTCATGTTTTAACATAATTCAAATATTTCAGCTAGAGTGCACTGCAATATCATCATAAGAAGGTGTATAGGATTTGGTTCAGATATGAAGCAATACAGCTTCCGATGTATTGTAGCACCATTAGGTGATGCACAATGGTGATGGATGCAAGTGGTGAAGCATACCAAATAAGACATTGTCAAGACTTGTATTAGGAAGGTACTCATAGACAAGTAATTTCTCCTCCTCTTGTAAGCAACAACCCAACAATCTCACAAGGTTTCTGTGCTGAAGTTTTGCCAACAAAACCACCTCATTCTTCAGCTCAACAAGCCCTTGCACTGAGGTTCTTGAAAGCCTCTTCACAGCTATTTGCACTCCATCCTCTAGTGTTCCCTGTGGTGCAGGAACCATATGGATTACAGGTTACACAGAGAAGAATTCTTCAGTCTTTGAGGGCTTACCCTGTAAACTGGTCCAAATCCTCCTTCTCCTAGCTTGTTTGCATCAGAAAAGTTGTCTGTGGCAGACCTCATCACCTCCAGATCAAGTAACAGCGATTCTGCACTCTTGATTTCTTGTTGGTCTTCATTGTCTGCTCAATAAAATTGTCACAGTAAGCACCTGCAAAGTTCATAAAAAAGCATGCTAATTCTGCTGCCTCACCAAATACTCGTTTGTGCGGCTGCATCCTCCTTGGCATTGCTGGTTTCCTTCTTCGACAGTACATAAAGATGGCAAGGAGGAACGACGGTGCTGCAGCAACAGGGATGACAGCAAGTAGAACTGTTTTCACAGCAATGTTACTTTTTCCTACACAGAAATTGATAGTGTATCAATGGAACCTTCCGTTCCAATAAATGAAATCAGTGTAAGGTAACATAATGCAGAGGCTGGGAGATTTTTTTTAGGTAAACCTACTTTTAGAAGTCATAAAAGCAGAGAGAGGTCAGAAGTTTCCTTATGATCTAACGGGGGCGTACACATATTGCGTCAATTCCGTGATAGACTCCGGGGGAATAATTGAGATTGGAAGGTCTTTTAAGAACATGGAACTTCTAGACTGGGGAAGAGAAAAAGACGCAGCGGATGGTCAGATATAGTTTCAGCGCCGTTGACCTGCAGCTGACGGGATTTCCTCTGACCAGTCAAACATGGCTGGCGTTTGGACTGAAGGGATCGCCGTTCTTATCTAACGCAGTGCTGTCATGTCGAAGAAGGCTGATTTAATTTTATGATACTTTTAGTGTCATTATGTGAAGCATTTTGTCCTCTTACTGGAAAAAGATGGAGCATTCTGCCTCTCTCGAGCACTGTAATAAATTCTACGTTGCGTAAAGTTCATGTCGATTCTATTAACAGAATGTTTATATGTTTATGTCTGTTCTTACCTCCACTGGCATCATTTGACACGGTATCGTTGGCCGTCTTGCTGCTCGGAGACACGGGCGGTGGAGCCTTCACGGCGTAGATGTAGTAGTAAGGATACAACTCGAAGCGAAGATAACAACTCTGGGTGTACACCTTCCCTCCCTGCTTCCAACTGGAATACTTGGGAATGAAGGTCACCGTGTCCCGGAGACACCGGTAGCAGTCGTCCGCCGACAGGTCCCTCGAGCACTGCATCAATCCGTACAGCTTATCGAAGCTGGTGACTTTGGCCGACCCATCCGCGAACAGTTTGGGCGAGCTACTTGCTTTGTCGGTGAGATCGTCCATGAGATTCCCCAGCGTGGTCTGGAACTGCTGCTGGTCCGAGACGTTCTGGCTGTTCCACGCCGCGTACATGAAGGAGGTGTCCGCCGTGGAGAAGAACGTCCGGTTGGAGTAGCGAAGCAGGCAGTCGTCGTAGCATGTGGTGGATGTCATGCCACTGGGGCACGACTGGATGATGTCTTGGACGGCGGCGTCGAGGCAGGTCTGGCACACGGAGGAGGAGACGTCGCCGCGGCATAACGCGAGGCCGTGGACTTGGTCAGAGGACTGACCTTCCGTGTCGTTGGAGTAGCCGGTGGCGGCGGTGGAGGAGGAGAGGGAGGCGAGGAGGAGGTTGAGGTTGTACTGGAAGGTGCTGTTGGTGGTGTAGTTGGCATCATTAGGACAGTAGCTCCAGAGCTTGCTCGAGCTGGTTCCGTAACAGCGGAGCATGAGAACAAGGGAGAAGAAGAGGAGGACATGGTAGGAACGAGGCATATCTGCGTTCCTTCGTTGCGGATGGTGATCGGGGAGGAAGACGATCAGAGCAAGCTTTAAGCATGAGGTGTTCGATGTTTGACCTGGTCAGTCAACCTATCGATTACACACGTCGCCATAACTTTTTTCCAAGGCGACCATAAGTCAACGGTGACTCGTCCTGTTTTGTAGAAGTGGGGACGACAATTTAATAACTCCAAAAATAATAGTAATCCTAATATGGAAAGTTATATTTTTTTATCTTATTATTTGATTAGGATTCAATAGTCTGATGGTGGTGCATTTGGCTTTCTTGGCTTACTTTTGAATGTTTGAAGTCTTATGATATAAAATAGAAGGCTAATTATATTATCCATGTCTTAACTACTTTTAATATTTTAATTTTTATACTTTAAAAAGTTACACTAATATTCTATAATTACAAAAGTGAAACATATAGATCGTTGATTTAATCAACCAAAATAAGCAAATGATAAGCATCAATTGGTTGCAATATAGGAGAGAAACCATGGAGATGTTAACTGGGTAGCCTAAGTCCATCCTCCGGTCTTTCCATTCTATTATTCAGCTCTCTGCCACTGCTTTAGACTTCGAGCCAGAATTCGTGAGCAACAAAACCCTAGAAGAATTTGTGGCAGTCGACAACAGAATCCTACAGCTCAAGAGGCTTCGCTTGTTCTTTTGCTCGCTTGACTTATTTCTTCCCGACATCAATAATTGGATAGCAGTTTCAATCGCGAAGGGAGTTGAAGCACTTGATGGACTTTTCCATGGGCTTTGATCTGTCACCTAATCAATTCAGCAATGGAGCTCGATTTTTCAGATTACCTAATCATTTGTAGCTATGCAATTCACCCAAACATATGCATATTACTTAGATTCATTTATTTGTTAAGAAAGAATCTTATGTGTATTGGAAGATAAGTACAAGCGTTATTACCTTCTTGATATAATATATCGATAATATTATAATAATTGAGAATGATATAGGAATACTACTTGATTCTCTAGACATTTTTTTATGAAGGACTTAAGAAAAATATCATACATATTTGAGATTCAGATCTATAGAGATAGATTTAAGAGGATGCTTGGCTTATCCTAGTCCAGATACATAGACACTATTATCAAAATATTGGGTATAAAAAACTTTTTAGAAGAATGTTTCAGACTCCTAAAGAAAAGATATGCATTGATAGTATACTATATACCTCAGCTTTGAGTATTGGAAAGTAGTAAAGTTTATCCTTAAATACTTGAAAATGATTAAAGATATTTTACTAGTATATGAAGTAGCCTTATGGTTAAGGTCTATATAGACTCGAGCTTCTAGTATGATGTCGATGATAGCAAGTCTAATTTAGGGTATATATTTATTTTGAATGGAGGAACAGTATGCCAGAAAAATTCAAAGCAAGATACTACTATTGACTCTATCACAGAGGTAGAATACATTACTACGGTAGAGACAACAAAGAAGAGAGTTTGGATGAAGAAGTTTATTATAGATCTAGGAGTTGTGACAGGCAGTAAGGAGTCAATTCCTTTGTATTGTGATAACTATGAGGTGATTGTTCAAAGGAGGGAACTCAAGTCTGTGTTCTAAGGAGGTTCCAACTTATTAGGAAAATCATGGCTCGATAAGATGTACTAATGGAAAAAGTTTCATCCAAAAATAATATCATAGATCCATTAACAAAGTTATTATCTCATATTGTCTTTAAGCATCATATTTATCTGATGGAGATCAAACATATAGGTGATTGGCTTTAGGATAAGTGGGAGATTGCTAGTCATAGGTGCCCTATAAGTCAATCACGTGAGTGATGACATGTGTGACATGACATATACTATTTTTTGCTTATTGTTATTATGATATTTTCTCACTTTATATTGTTTGATGTATAAATATTTTGTGATGTCCATAAATATATGCAATGAGAATCGGATCTTGATGAGATCACGATAATGAGACCGATTCATATTTAAAAATAGACCCTAAATAATCCCGGTCATAGGTTATTCAAGAAGGACATCGAGATAACCGGATAGACTGGTATGCTGTATATCCGTCTATATTATGGAGATAGCTAGTTTCATAGCTGCTTATGTAGGGACAATAGGGCTACAATCCAGGTGCTCATTTGAGAATGAGTTCATTGATTGATCTGCTTACAGAATGCTAGATAGTTGATGATATCTCATTATAAGACAATGATTCTATCATCTCAATGGTGTACTTGGTCCTTAGACTTAAGACACTAAGGATGTCTTGTATGAGTACTATATTCTTTGATATTATACTTGTATGTTTGAAAGTTCCAAATCTAGTATAATCGGTCATCGGGCTATTAAGTATCGAAAGAGGATCATATCTACTCTCGGTATCATGAGAGAAATATCTCATGTGTTCTTGCTCAGACAAATTCTTGGCCAAGGTCATTTGGATTGAGAGAGAAAGAGTTCTCCGGAAGAATCAATTAAAGTGAGACTCGAGGAGAAACCGTATGAGTCTAACAACACGCTCGATGTAAGGTCTCTAGAATATTAGATGGATAAATAACTATAGATATACAATAATTGAAGACAAATAGGTCCAAAGGATTAGATTCCCTTATATCATATGGGGACTGTAACGTAGTGGCCTAGTACGTTCGCAGTCGATGAGTTAGTGAATTATTATGAAGCTAATAATTCACTGAGTCAGAAGGAGTTTTGATAGGTATGACTCATGGCCAATTCAATATTGGGCCTAGAGGGTTACACACATATAGTAGGTATTACGACAAGTAGAGGTTCATATATGAGATATCCGTCGGAGCCCCTATCTTATTGGATATCCATTAAGACCATGAATTATTGGATCCTATATATGATATTCAATAAGAGCTAATAAGAGATTATTGGGTAGAGAATCATTAATATAAGAGATTTGGATAATTGGATAGAGATTCAATACCCAATAGGGCAAAATTTATTTGAGATAAGTTGACAATGGACTTTTATAAATAGGAATAAACTAAAGGGTCATATACTAGACTTCTTTGCTACCACCTCTTATTCTCCTCTCCCCTTCTCCTCCTCAGCCAGCAAGGGCATGTGGAGATTTGGGCAGCGATTTGAGGAGTATCTTTGCAGCCCTTATCGTGTGGATCATCGCTAAAGAGGAGAATGCTTGACCTCCTTCATCATCTCCCATAGATATATAGAAATTTAGGGATATACGAGCTCCTTAGGTAATATAACTATCTTGCACATGGTTTTTAGTTTTGCAAGGTTTTACACACCAATCTTCGCATGACGAGGAACATCTTTTGGAAAACATAATATTTTTGTTTTATATTCTTCCATTGCGCATGTGATATCGCCCATAGATTTCCCTATATGTGTTTTATGCGTGAGTAGAATATTAGATTGACGCATAAGTAGGTAACTACAACATTATCATAATATATTATATGAGTAAGAGTAGAGTTTACATTAAATTCCTTGAGTAGATTCGTGAATCAATTGAGTTCTGCAATAGTGGTGGCATGGATGCTTGATGTAGAAGTGTGAGACTAGTTTCAACTATATATCGATGTTTGTGTTCGGTAGTAATGATGAATGTACGCAGGCTGTAGATCTCCATCAAAATGCTTCGATTGGAGGAAAGAGCAATAGTTAGTGATAGAAGCAGGGGCTATGATTATTTAGGAGGAGAATTAGCTGCTCGTTGTCTCCAAGGAGGTGTCGCTAGACAATGAGGAAGGAAAGATAAATCTTGCTCTAAGGCAATAGATGCTTTGTTACCATGATAAATTGAAATATAATGATAAAACTAATTGAATTAATTGAATACAATATCTATTTATATATGTTAGATAAGAGGATTTCCCTCAATCGATTAGCTAGATTTCCTAATGCAGTTGCTTATCTACTATCACTTATAGAGGCTGCTTGATGGACTTGGCATTGGTGAGAATGACCCTGACAAAGGATTCGTCGACAAGCCTCGTGGCCACGATACCAAGCACAACGTGATGGCTGCATCACCCTCGGTCATAGCCTGCTGCTAGGCTCAAACAGCAAGCCCGAGTAGGGTGACGATCACTCGGTTACCGTGTGGAATGATGAGCCTGCTTGATCCGTTGAGTTGAAGGCTCCCTTTGAGCAATGCTTGAGACAAGTTGCGTAAGCTCGCCATGGAAGCCATTGCTTGTGTCGTCTCTCTCTCTCTCTCTCTCTCTAGTTAGAGAGAGGGCATCGCGTTTACCTTGTCTCATCGTAAAGGATTTTGATGAGTTATTAGCCAGTAGTTGATTGACACATACGCTACGCATCGTTTGGTCTATTCTTTTGCTGGATTTGGTGGCGTGGACTAATTATATGTTATCTTGGTAATTAGTTATCATTAGTATCTCAATCTTTGTATTTTTATAAATTCTATTAATTTTTTTTATTTATAAAAATAAAATATTAATATATTTGTACATGATTAAGAAGATAATTTTATAAGATTAAAAATTAAGAGAAAATTATTAAAATAATAGGATTAAATATTTCACTTTAATAGGATAATTTTATAAGATTAAAATTCAAGAAGGTTTACATACAAATTTTATAGATATGTTTTTTTTCTTTTAATTAATTAATATTAAAGCAACTCGTATGGAACTGCAATTAAGTGCATGCAGGATCAATTGATATGATTAATTGATGTCCTCCTATATTGAATCCTCTTATATTCTTGCCATAAGTTGGCTTATTTGACTTTTCTTTTTCTTCCATAAAATTCTTATCAATGGATTAATTAATGTATCAATTTTATCGTGTTAAATTATTGATTATAATGTTTATTTAAGTTAAAAAATAATACACTCATCTATTATTCATAAGTCAATTTAAGTTATCTTGCGCTTGAAATATTACATCTATACTAAAATAAATGTCCATATATTTATGATATATATGGACATAAAAGGACTCTTTTTATTTATTTTATTAAATTTATTACGTGATCATATGTTGAGCTAATTATATATTATCTCATATAATTAACTATTATTAGCATCTCCATTCTTACATTTTTAAAAGGTATATTAAGATTTCTATACTTATGAAAATAAAATATTTAACTCTATTTCTCCTTACTATCACGAACTTAGCTGGTTTTGCCTAAGTTATGCGGCACCCTTGCTAGTATGTCTGCAAAGGTCAACCTTTCCAAAACCTCCCATGGTCCCATAGAACCTACAAAAGAGAAAACGGGTTAGAAAAAGCGTCTCACTCGGGATCCACAAGTAATTATTCCAAAAAACACTTCATAGCCAATGTAAATTATAAACAAACTTTACAAGATTTGAATGGTTGCACAATAAAATGTCCAAATAGTCCACTATAGACCGAAAATCTCTCACAAGTGTCCACATGACACAACCTTTATTTACAAGCTTAAAACATCCACCAAACCCACTAAAATCAGGCTGTTAAGCTTTCGACCGTCCCTCAATATGTTGTGCAAAGCATGAACATACCCAAAGACATGGACATACATAAGCATTATATCAAACATCCTGTTTAGAAATTTATCCGTCACATTACGTTATCACTCTACCGATGAAAATATCGTATGTGCTGTCACGTATAGAAAATGATACTAAAATAAGGTCAAAAAGATAATTATGTAGTATTATTCTTATCAAAAAAAAAAAAGAGAGAGAGAGAGAGACTTTGTTCTCTCTATGTCTAAAGAAAAAAGGGAGGAGGTTTTGTTAGAAAGTGAAATACAGGATGGAAAGGATCTTTCTCTCTTATGTTGACTTTTATGTTGGTTTCTCGATGGTTGCTTTTACATAAGTTACGAAATGAAAATTTAATATCGATAATAATAACATTATAAAATTACCTTTTAGCCCTATTTTAGCATCATTTTTTAAGTGTGACAACATGTAAATATATTTCTGTTAATAGAGTCAGAATAAACTAGACTAAAGGTAGCTAACTAAGGGCCTAATATGTAATTAGCGCCCATATGTCACACTACATAAATAAAGCTGGCTGTTATGGATACAAGAGTGCATAAGAACATAGAAGGAAGAGAACAGAAACCTACACACGTTCGCCAAACTAGTGTCCAAACAAGCTCATTTTAGAAGCCTTTTCCAATCCAAGATTTTGATCTTGAACTTTTTCTTTCATGAATCATATTTTCCGAAAGTTATGTCAGGACAAAATCATACAAGACTGCAGCACATGAAACTGAAATTTAAGCCTTAAGTCTTGCAGAACAAAACTTAAAACACACATCTTCTTATTA